TCAGGAAATTTCAACACAGGGGCTTGCGTTAATGCTTGCTTTAATTTTTCGAAAGCACTATTGGCTTCGGCCGTACACGAGAATCTTGCCTTTTTCCTTTTTAATTTTAACAATGGTTCAGCAATAGCTGCAAAATCTTTTATAAAGGACATATAATATGGATAAAGTCCTAGAAAAGAAGAGAGCTTCTTCTTCGCCGTATTCGGTGGCGGATACCTTTGCACAGCGATTATTTTTGATTCGTCTGTCTCGATTCCTTTCTGAGATATTTTGTAACCTAAATATTTTAATTCAGGGGCTGCAATTTGCACTTTTCGACATTAACTTTTAGACCGGCCTTATTTAATAAAGAAAACACCTGTCTTAAATCCTGTACATGTTGGTCGAGATTATCACTAGTTATAATGATATCGTCTAAGTAGATAAATGTGGACTTTCCAAGAACAGTCCTTAACACAATGTCCATACATCGCTGAAATGTTGCCGGTGCCCCTGAAAGGCCAAACGGCATACGCAGAAATGCATAAGTGCCAGACTTGGTTATAAAAGCAGTCTTAGGCACGTCCTCAGGTTCTAACCCCTATTTGAAAATAACCAGTCGTTAAGTCTAAAGTCGTCATATATTTGGTAGACGTTATGTTTCCTTAGAATTTCTTCAATAATAGGTAACGGATATACCGGATATTTAGTTATGGAGTTTAATTTACGGTAGTCAATCGCGAATCGCCACCTTTTTGGATGTGTTTCAATGGATAACTCATTATTTTTTCTTACATAAAACCACCGGGCTAGCATAACTACTTGAGATGGGCGTTATGATCTTTTTACGTAGCATATCGCTGATGTGCCACTCTATAATTTTTTCTTTATTCTTATCATACCGGTATGGCTTTGTGGCGAACTGGCATTGAATCTCCGGTGTCAATACTATGGTTAGTAACCTTGAGTAAATCCTGGAATATCACTAAATAACGAAGCAAATTCACTTACAACTTGTCGGATTCTTTGTTGCTCTTCCATTAGGCAGGTGGTCAAGGATTTTAACATCGGCGGTTCCGATTTTTTTCTTCTCGAACTGGTTTCATTTTCATCGTCAGCTTAAGGGACGCTTTATTAAAATCCAGCGTTGCTTGTGCCTCTGAAAGAAAATCTATTCCTAAGATAATATGTGCTTGCAGATTCTTTACTATAAAAAACATAACCTTTACTTGTTCGTCCTTGATACGGACGTATAGCGGTAATTTACCTATGCACTTACATCTTTTCTCCTTGCGCAGCTAACACTGTCGTATTATCCGAATTATATATGCGATATTTACGAAAATACTTCCTAAAAAAATCTTCTGCCACACAGGAACACTGCGCGCCTGTATCCAGGAGTGCGGTGGCTGGGATATTATTCACCAACACTTCAATCTTCGGAAGAGTCAAATTTTTCACCATTACTGTATTTAACTTGAAGGAAGAGGGGTTTTCTTGGCCTTCGGATTTCCGCACCCTCCCGTCAGCAGAAATCCGTTTTAGTTTAAATCATTTTTCATTTCCATGCTTTCTTTCTTTTTCCACTGGCCTTGAGACTTTTTTCCTGAATTGCTATTGAACCGTCGACGTTCGCCGGCTGTTTTTGGATGCTCGGGTTTCCTTGCCCACTGATTCGCTTTGCTTCCGTAGCCGTGTGCTTGACTTTGCTGTGGTCTTGGCGCACCAAATTGGTTTCGTTTTTCATACTGGCGTCTTCTTTCAATGTCCGCCGTTCTTTGACTTTCAACTGGATTGCTAGCTCAAATAACTTTTCCAGTGTAGTCGGATTTCTTAATTCAATAAAGTCTTGCACTTGGGGCAGTAACCTCGTCAAAATCACTTGAATTATTTCAGGATCCGGACGGTTTCCATACAAGAGTTTGAAGACGTGAATTTTTCTTAAAATAAAGCTTGAGAGATTTTCGATTCTTTGCTGATATATGCTGAAAAGTTCCGTTTCTAATTTCGCACGATCCCTTACGACAGGGAAGGCTTTTGCTAGGGCAGTCTTGAAATTTTCGTAAGTATAGGTGGGACTTCCTGCTTGACCCAAGAGACTTCTGCCTATACATTTGAACCAGTTAAGCGCTTGGCCCCTCAAAGCGCTGGTAGCTAAGGTAACTTTCTGAAATTCGTGCACGGGGTAGAGCATGAAGTGGTCATCTAGTTTTTCCAAAAAACTGGTAACCGGTGAGTTTCCATTAAATGTTGCTTCTGGTTTCATCGCTGCGCGCATGGTCTGGACGATGTAACCAAATCCTTCCAGGGCGGCAGCTGGCATTTCTGGATTCTGAGCCGCTTCTGCAGGCAGCACAGGTTCTTCTTGAAACTCGGCCATGGTTATCCTTCTTCATCGGGCGCCACTATCAGGTTCAGTGTTTCTCCTTACTTTCTTTGGGAACATGCACAGGCCTGACTCGGAACAGGGAGCTTACTAAAGCTATGTTCAATAAATGTGGGAAGTAGACAAGATACACAGGAAGGGTATACGAAACCCTTTATTTTTCACTCTTTACAATAATTTCCGTACTTCAGAATTCAGAGACCAACTACTTGTGGTCTGAACGTAAGAATATAAAAATATTTAACTAAACTCTAACTTAACTTTGGAATAATAAACAAGGGCCTACGTGGAAGATTGGCCGTATATTAACAGGAAGCCGTATGTAGTACAGAGAATTGTTAACACTACAATACGTTTAAAATTATCACGAGGATTAAACCTCTGGCCTGGAAGGCAACCAGCAACCGAGTAAAACTGCTAAGGTAAGCGGCCTGCTTCGACTAACTCCTTCCTCTCTCTCGCTTGGCAAAAAGCCACAACTTAAGTACTTGGCGTTCGCCAGGCAAATTAGCATAAATAAGTTAAAGCTTTTAATTCTGGCCGGAAGTAGAAAATAAGAAGTGATAGTAAAGATTTAAAATAAAAATAAACGTTAGTAAAACTTAAGATCCTTACAAGTTTGGCAACGCAGAACTATAAACCATAATTCCAACTGGCTTTGCCATTTTTTCCGTATTCCGTTCAATTTAAAAATGCAAACAAATATTTTCACGCATAGAATTTATTTTAAGTAAGAACAGCAACAGTTTAACTATCGAAATTCAGACGCCTGTAATCGTCTGAAGACGGCCGACTCACTAGAAGTTAGACTTTGACTAAACTGACGCCATAATATCAGCATCAGGTGGAGGTACCGATGTCGAAGAGAAAAATAATGTTCATTCAGTTATGCTTGTTTTTATAAGAGCTAGAATATTAGCTTTTATTTTTGTGCTTAAAGTTTAAATCATATTGTAATTACTTTCCTATAAAATCTCTCTCATAAAAAAAAGACCGATTTAAATGAAAATATCATTGACCAGAATCTTTTTCTTAACATACGCATTTTAATTGATAATGACCCGCAACCAAAAAAAGAGGTCGAAGCATGCTTTGAAGTTTATTTACTGCTAATTTTTATAACTAACGTTTCTTTTTTTTTTTTTTTTTTTTGTTAGAAATTGTGTATCAGTCACTTTTATTTGCAATTCTTGCTTTCAAGTTGAAACATAAAGACTATTGCCCGTCAAAACTCAGTTTGTCGTGGAGTCATATCTTAGTACAGAAAAAGAAGCGAGCATGAGATCTCTTCTATTTCCTTTACATGTGAAACAAATGGGAGTCGGTGTCTATTAGACAATCTAAAATGAACGATAGCTCCTCTTACGTAAACAGTTTTAAAACGCTTTGCCATAATCAGTCCATCAGTCACTTTAAACGAGAGAATTAATAAAACTATCATTGTATTCTTATAATATTAGATGTAAGATGGGGGGGGGAACTAAATGAGCCTGTTTTTCTCTTAACTGGGAAGGTTTCGAGACATTTACTTACAAACAAAAATCAGAGACTTTTTTGCAACAAAGAAATATTTGTTTATGGATCTGTTACCGTACACGCAAGTACTGTTGAGAGCAGCCATCAAATAAAGGAAGGATATTATTAAAAAAAATCCTGTCAATAACCACAGGCTAATTGAATGTTTCTTATCGGCTGGGCGGAATATCATTTTAATTACTTGCTCAGAAATGTCAAGACTAAAATAATTTACGAATTGCTTCAGTTTAGCCCACTGCCCATATTTATTCAGTAACATTTATACAGTATATGCAAATCTCAAAATAAATTAAAGCGTTTTTGTAGAAGACAATTAATTATCATAAACTGATTACATATTCAGTGATATCTCTTAGCAAAAACATCATCTTTCGTAAAATGTTAAGAATATTTATTTTTCAATGATAATATTATCATCAACGATCTGTATTACGCATGTTAATGAAATTCACATCATACATAGAAAATACATAGACCCATCATTTCACCGGGAATCTGTTTACTCAGGAAAGTTATCATTTAGACTATATATATATATATATATATATATTTTTTTTTTTGTTCTCACTTTAGTTTTTACATTCATTTTACTGTTTACGTTTATACTGAATCAGTTGCAATAAGTATTGAGATTAAGAAGGGAAATTTTGTTAAAAAAAATTTGGTCCTTAAGCCTAGGTCAAAGTCTCGAAATTAAAATTAATACCTTGATAAAAATAGAAAAACAAAAACCGCACAAAAATTATAACATTTTTACTACGTTTTAAAAGTGTTTTAGCTATTCATTAATTAAAGTGACGTGTTATAATAAGTTCTGATTTAAATCGCGGAATATCCACGTTTAAATTTGTTGCTCAATAATTTCTAATTAAAATCAATGAATGTCCATCAGACGAAAAATTCAGTGAATGTGATAATAGACTGAAATAATTGCCTACTTTACGAGCTAAGTAAAATTGAATATAAAGTATATTTTGTTTTGGCCAACACAAAGACTGATCATACCATGAATTTCATAATTTAGTTATTAAAATCTAATTTCAAATAAATAGTGAATATTCAGAGTACGAATAATTATTATGAAGAAAATGAGACATACCAGTAGCACCAACATCACAGGACAGCTAAAGACATAGTCATAATAGTCCTTATTTTGCCATGGACATCTGCAATAAAATAGAATGTGTTTTCTTCATTTTCAGTATTAAATATTTAAAAAAAATCATAAAAATACTTTGATGAATACATATCCATATAGTCCCAGTAAATAAGGTGATTTATTGGGTTTCCTCATGTGCAGCGTGAATATTAATCGGTTTTCCTTACAATGCCTTTTAAGAAACACCAGGAAGTGATGACCATATTGCCTTATTTAATATCGCCAGACCAATCAATCTAACACTCTAACACAAGGCAATTAAATTCTTTTATTTAATGAGGATACAATATGGAACAATTTAAAATAGTAAAATATTAATTTTTTTCAAATTAAAATTATTTAAGTTAATTTGTTTGTAAAGCTGTTAAAACAATAAAGCATTTATACTTATTGCATCTAATCAGTTAAGCTTAAATACTTTTATATCTAGATAAATACAGAAGTGAAAAAATATTATGTATATATATAATAAAAGAAAGAGTCTGTCTGTGTGTGTGCGTGACTTTCGTTCATGCTTTTGCGCGTAAGCTAATAGACCCAGGGCTACGAAATTTGGTATATAGGTGCATCTAGACAAGAGCCAGTGCACCTAAGCAATTTGTAAAATCGCTTCGAGGTGCACTGGCCCTTGTCTAAATCAAATTTCAAAAGTCGAATCAGATTTGTTTTTATCATTTTTGAAGAAATCGCATCCTTTTGAATAGTCTGATTCTTTTAGAAATGTGGTTTTGGCAACAGTTTTTCATTCAGTGCTTTGTATACTGAACTACTGACTGTTGAAAATATGACATAAAATATTAGTAATAATACACGCAACAAGCATATCGCAATCTTCTTATTCTGACGCGCATGTGTCTCGCGAGGCACAACAGAAAGAATTTCCTTTTCTCTCTCTCTCTCTATCTTTATTAGCTAATGGCAAAGAGGTTTGTATAGTTTGAATTATGTCATCTACAAAGTACAATTTTGATTGGTTATTACTTTCTGATGATAGTTTCATTCTTTTAGAAATGTGGTTGTGGCAACAGTTTTTCATTCGTTGCTTTGGATACTGGACTGCTGACTGCTTTTTCTTGAAAATATGAGATTTATTGCTTATTTCATTTTAATTTTTTATATTATGTTTTAATTATATATAATTTTCCTTATATAAAAAGTTTTGCATAATTTGTTTGAGGAAACGAAGTTCTTAACTTCCTTTATACCATTTGAATTCTTAAGATTTTGCAAAGGGAAATTGGTTAATTTATTTATTAAGATAATTAATATTTGTGTTAAGGGATATTGCTTATTTCATTGCAATTTTGGTATATACGAGTATATACATTTTTTATTGAAATTTTTGTGTTTTTTTATAAAGTTGTTTTGCAAAGTAAAATTCTGTGCATTTTTAAGTTTAATGTTTGGTGTTCATTTTAAGCATTTTTCTGGTACCTTTAAAAGCCAGACAAAGGCTGGCTGCGTAGCGGCTAGTTTTTAATAAATGATATATTATTAACTTTCTCAATGCAACTAATTTTAATACTATATGAAAAATAAATTTTAGCTCAACAATTAATTTTGAGCTTTTATTAAACGTTATATATTTTCTCTATAAGAATAAAAAATTGCAGCATTCAATATCTGAATTATTGTTATAAAAGTTAGTAAAAAATAAGCTAACAGAAACTGAGATGGTTAGTTATTACTTTTTAGGAACATTTCATTTCCGATTTATTTAATAAATAATAAGTAGCATGTAGATTTTTTTTCTATAAAGAAATCAGAGAAAAGATGCAACGCAGAGAGACCTGTTTCTTTACTGCATTTTTAAGAAGTTGATTAATTACACGTTTTAATGATATGATGATATGAAGTTGATTTTAATGATATGAACTTGATTAATTACATATTTTAATGATATGATATAATGATTTTAAAATAATTTATTATAGTTTTAACTGTTTCATATAATTGACGCAAATACTTTCTACTACTATATGAAGTTGATTAATTACATATTTTAATGATATGATATAATGATTTTAAAATAATTTATTATAGTTTTAACTGTTTCATATAATTGACGCAAATACTTTCTACTACTTGTGGACTTCATATTGAGCAATTTGTTTAAATGTCTGTCTTCTTTGTAATGCGATATTTGATTAATATAGCTTTTTGTCTTTTAACATATTACTCCATGCCATTATTTGCAGAGAATATTCAAGACTAACAGCTGGCCATGTTACCGCCTTTTCCCAGCATTTTTAAAACATCTTTACAAGCAGAAGATCAAGATTTTAATACCTATAATTAAGACGACAAGATTAATGAGTTTTAAGAGTCTTTGCATCATTTTCTCAGTTCCGAACTCATCTCAAACGAGAACAAATTAAAACGCTCGCTGTAATTTACCCAGTTCCGATAAAGCACCGAACAACTTAGTAACTGTCGTCGCTTTTGACAGCCTAATAAAGGCCGGGCAAGCGCTCAAGATTTAAAAAAAAATATGTTCAGTACGGCAAGGGATCAAAGACATCTGAAATGATTACCTTTTACATGATATGAGAGTCCATGACTCAGGAAAAATTTTGACACTTGTAAAATTTCTTTCCTAACTGACTGAAATTAAGGGACCTGTGAGTTATTGCTTTTCGCTTTTGTCATAAAGCAAGTTACGAATGTCAGGTTGAGAAGTCAGGAAGATGTAATGACGTAAACAGAAATTTAATATGTTGGCTGTGGAATTTAAATCAATATTAAATTTCCAAATTTCTACTTGCAGTTCTGTATTTCACGATATTTAAAAGTAGTAGTCGGACAGAAACATTAATCGAGTTTACAGTTTGAAAAATATGAATAAGAATTCTTCATTTACAGATTATTGCAACTCTCAGTAATCGTAATTTGTGAACTATGACAGCTCATCTACAACTTAAGCTATGAATTCTATTTCCCGCCTCATGTTTAATAAACATGAAGGGCCAATAAAACACCTCAGCGTGGTATTTATTGTTTTTTATTTTATTATACTGTTTATTGTATTACACGTCTATGTAAAACAAAAAAAAGTATTTTCATTAGAGGGAAATAATAGCTGCACGCTTCGTACGCAAGCGATTTAATGAATAAAATATACAGCTACATCTAGAATAATCACGTTTTTCTCTATTACTGAACGCATAAATTTCTTCCTGGCGTTATATTCTATAAAACGCGATCATAGCAAGCTTTTGTATCACTTGGAATTTATCCTTTTTATGGTTCATATTAAATCAAAATTTTATGTTCCATTAACTTTTATTTTTTGGGAATTAATTCTTAAATTAATACGCTTATCGTAACTCCTAGGATGGATATTTTAGCTGTTAAGTTAAAATCTGCACCCAAAAAGTTAAATTTTCATTTTGTGATTTTCACGTTTTTTAATTCTTAAGTATTCTTAAAAATTGTTTTAAACGTTGAAGGGAACCGTTCTGAAAATGAAATATACATAGAGTTTATACAGAAATCGTGCATATATTAACATTAAATTAGATATTATTACATATATGAAATTAAGATGAAACTATAACTATGAAATTTAAAAAAAAGTTATTTTATTTTATATTTCGGATTGCGTAACTGCAAATAAATGTATGTGCCTCAAAATGAAAACAGTTTCTGCATGGAGAGTCTAGCTCAATGATTTTTCAAAATAGGATCCTCTTTGGTTATCATGTTGCGGGCTCTAACCACAAATATAACATAAACTTTAACATATACAAATGTTTTGAATAGGAAGACATCTGAAGAGAACAGACACCACATGACTTCCTTGTACGGCCTATTAAATTATACACATTTTTTGCTGCATTTCATTTAAACTTATTTCTTCGAATTCCATTTGAGATCAGTTCAGTTCTTAGTTCGCGGCAAGACATAAACACGGCAATACATAAAATCTCAAAACACCTTTATTAAAAATTGTAAAATGCAGAAAAACATAAAACGCCAAATACATTTAAAAACAGTTAAAAACATAATTTTTAGAATTAAAATTGGAGTCCCTACGCAAATCAAGCAATTTGGTCAGCGGGCAGAAAGACAGGTATTTCGCTGCACAAAACATAAAGTTTACTTTTGACCGCGCTAGGTAAAAAAAAAAAAAAAAAAAAACTTAAGTTGGTGCACAGACTGCCTTAATTCACTGCTCTACTAAGAGTTTTAAATGTAATTAAATGGCGGCGTCTTTAGGCTTAGTACCATTTAAACAACTATTAAATATAGGTAAAAATAACACGCCGAACATATATTAACTTAGAGGAAAAACAACAAAATTTTCTTCTGTTGGTGAATTAGATTTTCTAGAGGCATTTTACATTGAAAAAAATATCTCTGTTCTAGTTAACGATCCTAATTCCAATCCATCTTTACCTTCAGCCTTTAAGAAGTTATGTTTTAGTTTCTTGTTTCATCAATAAATGACGCCAGTAGCTTAACTCCTGCCCAGCCATTCTTATTACTATATCTTATCTCGTTCTTTGCTCTTTGGCAGCTGAGATGGATGGTTCGGTGAAACCATCGAAACTAGTCCTGTGAAAATTCGCAAATATAACGCTGAGTTTTGTTGTTTGCCTTCTAAATTAATAAAACTATTAAATTGTTGATAAGTCTACAATTATTGCATGCAGATTAGATAAAGGCATAAAAACGTTAATCGGAACATAAGAACAACATAGTTCAATCATGTTTCGAGCAAAAATGCACAGTTTACCAACATATAAGAATAAAAACCTGAGCTCACTCAGACGAGTGACAGATTGACACTATATACGCTTGGTACGACCGATTGCAACGAAAAAGGGAGGTGCAAAACTACATGGTAGTATAGCAGTCCTATGTACAAAATTTCGATGTTCTACGGCTGTTCAATTTTGAATTAAGCGAGATACATACGTACGTACAAATGTCAAGAAAAAATGTCTCCTAAATCCGTTTTTAATTAATTTTACAATCCGCTTTGATAGAAAGAGTCTATTATTC